AGTGGGCTGTAAATGGGTGTTCACCACAAAATTCAAATCAAACGAATCCTTGGAAAGGTATAAGGCCCGCTTAGTTGCGAAGGGATTCACACAGACATATGGCATTGACTATCTTGAGACATTTGATCCAGTAGCTAAGCTAAACTCAATTAGAGTTTTGTTGACAATCGCAGAAAATCTTGACTAGTCACCTCAACAGTTGGATGTGAAAAATGCTTTCTTGAATGGGCACCTAGAGGAAGTCTATATGGATCCCCCACCAGGTTTTTTAGGGAAGTATAAGTCAAAGAAATGCAGGCTTAGAAGATCTCTTTACGGTCTAAAACAATCTTCAAGGGCTTGGTTTGAAAGGTTCACTCAATTTGTGAAGAAGCAAGGGTATGTGCAAGGCCAAGCAGATCACACGATGTTTACTCGACATTCACTGGAAGGAAAAACAACTGTTCTTATAGTGTATGTCGACGATATCATCCTCACAGGAGATGATGTGGTTGAAATAAAAAATCTAAAGGAGCGTCTTGCCTCAGAATTTGAGATAAAAGACTTAGGCCCGCTAAAGTACTTTCTTGGCATGGAGGTAGTACGATCGAAGAAAGGAATTATAGTGTCACAAAGGAAGTATGTTCTTGATCTATTAAAAGAAACAGGAATGAGTGGTTGTAGACCAACTGAAACTCCAATTGATCCAAATCTGAAGTTTGTAAAGGAAGGAAAATTGATTGATAAGGGCCAATATCAGAGATTGGTAGGCAAGTTGATTTACTTGTCACATACTAGACTTTATATTTCCTTTGTTGTGAGCCTAGTCAGTCAGTTCATGCATTCTCCACAAGAAGAACACCAAAAAGCTGTGTATCGAATCCTAAGGTATCTAAAGAGTTCTCCTTGGAAAGGGTTGTTCTTCAAAAAGAATGAGCAAAGAAGTGTTGAGGCTTATACATATGCGGACTGGGCTAGTTCATCTATTGATAGAAGGTCTACATCTGGATATTGTACATTTGTTTATGGAAATTTAGTGACATGGAGAAGTAAGAAGCAAAATGTGGTGGCTCGAAGTAGTGCTGAGGCTGAGTATCGATCCATGGCACACATAATTTGTGAAATGTTATGGCTCAAGAGATTTTTGGAAGAACTAAGAAGACTTGCGAGTTTTCCAATGAAGTTGTATTGTGACAATAAGGCTGCCATAAGCATTGCTCATAATCCAGTTCAACATGATAGAACAAAGCATGTTGAAGTGGACAGACACTTCATTAAAGAGAAGATTGAAGATGGAAGTGTGTGCATTCCTTTTGTTCCAACAACTGAACAAGTTGCAGATATTTTCACAAAAGGTCTTTTCAGAATTACTTTTGAGTCATTTGTGAGCAATTTAGGCATGTTCGATATCTACATGCCAACTTGAGGGGGAGTGTCGAATGAGTTGGCAGATTTACTCACAATCTGCCCCATCAATGAGCTGGCAGATTTGATTGTAATTTGCTACAAATAAGCTGGCAGATTTGATTATAATCTACTACTGTAAATATGGATAGAATACATTATTATAGGAAAGTAGTTTAGAGGAAATCTCTTGATTCAAGGATCTCCCAGGAATTAGGGATTGATTAGTTTATTTGATCTTACTTGTTCTCCTATAAATAATGTACAAACTCTATGAATAAAAATATACTTTTGCAGTATCTAAACTTTCATTCAGTATCTTCATTAATTGAATACTCACTGCCCTTTAAGTTCACAGATCATGTCTTCATGCCCACGACTGTTTATTTTTAGTTTGAGAATTGATATGTTCTTTTTGGAGAATTTAAATTTGGATATTGGTAAAGTTATATATTTTTTTTTTTTTTTGATTTGCACCGGGTGTCCGAGTCTCTTTGAGCCCCGACTAATCCCGGGGGTGCACAGGCCCTCGGCAAGGAGTTTCCCGCAAGTGCACCACGGTTAATTCAGGTTTTACCCAGTCCGATGGCCCTCAGAAATTGTTTGCACCCAGTGGGTTTCGAACTTGAGACCTTGAAAGGGAGCAAACCCCAAGGCTCAAGTCAATTGCCAGCAGGCCAACCCCTGAGGGTTAAGTTATATATATATAAAGTGTCATGGTCCTCAAACCAGATGTAGAGTTTCTTTTATGATTTTCCGTCGTCAAAAATTTATGAACAATGGACGTCTAGGTTTGGAAGACCCAACAACCGCAAGACACATGGATTTCAGTCGTTCTCATGGATTCAAATATGCTTCCGCATCAGGTTTACGTTCTTCATGATTTGACATGGTAGATCTTGAGAAAGATGATGGTTTTCATCTTGAAGTGTTTTGGTTCCAAATAATTGATATTAGAGCCTATATCATGTCAAATCATTCGGACTTTTGTGTGTCCAAAAAAAAAAAAAAAGTTTCAAACATATAGTAGGCGCTTCCCCAGCGTCAATCTAGTAATTTGGAACTGGAACTCTGGCCTCCTTTAGAGAAATGTGGGCACAAATAAAGGTCATAAAAAGTTGCTATTGAGTTGTATTTAATATTAAATACAAATAGTATATACCAGCTTGAGGTGGAAACCAAACTATTGTAATTTTAGTGTTCGCCAATTGCAATAAATTAATAGCTTCAGCACATAATCAAGTTGTGTTTTTCTCTGTTCCCTCTTGTCTTATTTTCTCATAGTAGCTAGACGATTACTTGTACAGTTTGAAATCTTTGTAAGGGGAGCAAAAATTCATGAGAAGGCTAACAGAACTCCATATCCATAAACGATATAAAGTTTTAGTGCAGAAAACAAGTATAACTTGGCTGGCATTTGAGCATTTTTTGTAGATATGGAACAACATGGCCCATGATGCCTTGTTAACGTATTTGAAGAGTCCAAGAATGTCTTAATGGCAAAATAGTTTCTTTGAAACTAATTAAAGTATACCCGGCGTTAACCAAACATAAAGAATAATACCTCCCAATGATGTACACAAATCTCACTTCAAGGAGAAAAAGGTAAGGATACTCTTACCAAATAAGAAGAGATCACAACCTACCCTGAAGTTAAGTGAGAGAACAAAATAAATTGCAACAAGTGAAAGACCATCGTCCTCCGAGTTGGGGAGAAAAGAGGCAAGACAGGTTAAATGATGGCCTTGTCACCACTGCTAAGCGGTGGTCAACACACTCACACCCAACTTCAACCTCATACACACACTCATGAATTCGTCTAAGTCCTTAGGTGGCATAGTAAGAGTAACAACACAGAAACCTGCAGGAACAAGTCCCAACCTTTATTAAAATCAAAGATAAACAAAGGACTAGGCTTCACGATTTACTAAGGCATAGAACACACTATACAGCTTTGGTCAAATTTTTGCCTAAAATTTGAAACTTCTGCACATAGGCAGAGTTACAACTGCCCATGTGCTTGTCACGTGGCTTAACAGAAATCCTTTATGAAATTAACCAAGTAAAACAGTAATATTCTAACAGCTATACAACATTTGATTTTCAATAAAGCAATCCACTTCATTTTCCTTAGCCGAATTTGTCTTGCCCACATTTAGAATATTTCAACCTTTCTTCATACTTAGTTTTATTTCTTGTTTATGTTAGCTTCGTGCTCACATTGAATAGCCTTGTCTTGCCATCATTAAATCATCTCACAGCCTTGCCTTGCCGATGCCACTTCTTGCACGCATGCCCATCAGGTGTCATGCGCCTGTCCTTACCATCGTGCCCAAGTCTGCTTAGCCAACACTTCAGCATCCTTGTTCATTTCTGCCTACTAACACTTAGTCGCCACAACTACATTGTTTCATCAAGCACATGCCAAGGCCAATGTAAAAGTACTTGTCAACGTTGCTTACATAGACTTAGGGTCTAACAAACCACCCCCACCAGTTGAAGTCGATGCCCTCATCAAGACTGTTTGAGGTAGTCCTTGTCTCCTCGATTTGGTCATAAAACTGCTATAAATCTTTACTCTTCTCCTCTCCCAAACCACATCTGCTACAGTCTTTCCCTTGGCATGTGCGTGATGAAACAATCTAGTTGTGGCGATTGAGTGTTAGTGGGTAGCAATGAACAATGATTCCAGAGTGTTGGCTAAGCAAACTTGGGCACAATGAAAAGGACATGTGCATGGCACCTGATGGGCATCGGCAAGGTAGTGTGTTGGCTTTACAAGACAAAGTTGTGAAATGAATTGACGATGGCAAGATAAGGTTGTTCAATGTGAGCATGAAGCTGGCAGAAACAAGAAATAAAACTAAGTATGAAAGAAGGTTGAAAAAACCTAAGTGTGGTCAAGGCAAATGAAGGCCATGTGCAAGGCCCGTGGGTTGCTTTATTTGAAATTCGAATGTTGTATAGTTGTTAGAATATTATAGTATACTTAGTTGATTTCATAATAGGATTCCTATTAATCCATGTGCCAAGCACATGAGCAGTTGTAACTGCTTGTAACTGCCTATGTGCAGAAGTTTTAAATTCTGGGCAGAAATTTGACGAAGGCAGTAGAGTGTGTTCTATGCCTTAGTAAATTCGTGAAGCCTAGTCCTTTGTTTATCTTTGATATTAATAAAGGTTGGGACTTGCTCCTGTACGCTACTGTGTTGTTACTATTACTATGATACCTAAGAAAACAGTCTAAGGACTTAGACGAATTTGTGAGTGTGTGTGTGAGGCTGAAGTTGAGTGTGAGTGTGTTGACTGCCTAGCAGTGGTGACGAGGAAATAAATCAGCTCTGTATCAATTGGTTTAATGCAAGTGTATATGTATTGTCTGAGAATATTCTTTCAATTTACTTTGTTCAACAACATAGTGCAACTTGTTTCAGTTTGACATGTTTAGGACATGCCGTTACTTTTGTTTACAAGGATATGCACAGCAGCACAAGATTGTACCAAGTGACCTAAAGCTGTAGTGTTGATACAATATGGTTAGTGGCATTTTATAAATCAAAACATTGCATCAGGTTATTGTAACATGCTTTAGAAAAAAATAACAAAATGCTTATTACCTCACCCCTCTCTCTTCCATCAGTACCCTCCAAATCCATGACAATGGTCAATGGCTCAATGCCGACAGCATTTGCAATCCAAATTCCCTTGGTTGTTTGATTCCTGAAATGAATTTTGATATACATTTCTTTTAGAATGTGAAAATTGAATTGACTAAAATTTCTTATTTGGAAGAGGTATTTTGTTGTTCAAGTTGTTGTATGCACAAAGCGCCAAAGAGAGAGGGAGGGAGCCGCACCTTCCTCTAAAAGCATCCATCTCCCTAAAATTGGTATAGAATAAATGGTTTAACAAGGTACTTTTCCCTGTGGACAAAAATGCATTTAGGATTAGCACTATTGAAACTAATCATGAACAAAATCTTACTTACATACAAACAAAATAGAAAAGAAAAATATCACAATGAAATGACAAAACAGAAAAACCAAAAGGCAAATTCAGAAGAAAAGAGACAAAGCTAGTAAATACTTGAAGAAAAGCCGAATGACAGTAACATAACAAAAATTTCAAGTATATAGAGGTACCCACGAGGCTTATCCATTAAATTCTCATTAAACAGTAGTACAAGCGAAGTAGTATCACAATGAATTGTGCCTGAATAGAGCAGAACAGTTAAGAGAAGATTTATGGGCAGACACCAACTTTATCTTGACTTGAGGTGTAGACCATATTTCAAAGGTGGTGGAGGTTTCATTTCCATAGCAAGAAGAGCCATCAAAACAAAATAAATGCTCAAATTGATAAAAAATATCTCCGTCTAAAACTTGCAAGCAGATGAATAGAAAAGATCCACATAGAGGCCAACTTTTTGTCAAATCATATTTCAAAAAGGGACCTACACAGCGAAAATAACACCAAATTTAAATAAAAACATCCCCTTTTTCCAGTTTATCAAAAAATTAAGAAGCAGTGCATAACAATAACAATGGAGGATAAAAGAGCATGCAATGGGATTTCATAAGAGAAGCAAAATTGATACTTATAACATCCCTTTTAGTTTCAAGTTCATCAAAATGTATAAGCAAATGAAAGGTTTTCAAAGAAATAAAGCATACCACTACTCTGCGGTCCCATAATAGCAACAACAGCATAAGAGAGACCACAGCGGTGAAGTTTGACTGAGCTAACGAAATTCTCGAGACCTTTGAAGTTGAATTCTCCATTAACATCTATGAGTTGCGTTGAGCAACAGTCCTCCTTACCCATGGAAGCTTTTACAATTCTTCCAAGCTAAAAGCAACTATGAATTAGCTATATTTTCTTCTTTCCTCCCTTTTCTCGTTTGTTCTAGAGAGAATATAACGTAACCTTGTTTTTATGCAATCTTTTATTCTCACTCCATTTATTTCTTTCCTATTATTCTTAAAACTAGCAAATTTACTCGTGCTTTTGCCTTTGCGTGGGGGCACCAAGAGAAAAATAGATTATTGTGCTAATTTTTATTTTTATTAAGTCAATCTTGACTAATTAAATTATTTTCAACTATAATATTTAAGATAACTCATAACATTGTCCAGTAAAAAAATTTGTTCTTCCATTGTGAATTTATATATAGAGTAAGATAAAAGTTAAAATGCATTGATGAAATTATAGATGTTGAAATACTCGATCATTAAAATCTCTTTAAACCATTTCATCGATCTCATTACTAAGCATCGTACACAATGTGAAGATAGTTTTTTTGACAATTAAAGACGTAAAATTTTCATCCGGCAAAATAAAAAGAGAATTGGAAAATATAGATGTGATAGAATGTGCGTCCTTTGCCAAGTATGAAGATGATTCTCCCTCAAACTATTTGAATTTATAAAGCTATGACCGGAGTTCAAAGTAATTAACAGATTCAGGTAGAGGAGACAACGAATGGGGAATACAAGGTAGACGAAATGTGTCCGCATTCAAGGTTAGTGTTTGCTATTTCTGTGTCCACAATTTCAAATCCTAGCAACTCAGAAATTTCATGTACTATTTGTGAATCACGTACTTTGCATTGAGTAACAAATATCAACTGCAAGAATTAGTGAAAAATCTTTCTTATTTCTGTGTGCACAGTTACAAATCCTAGAATCTTCAATAATTCCAGTTCAACATGTGCATTCGCGTACTTCAGCATCATTAATCACTGACTAATAATTTAGGGAAGGGAGAGATAGATGAGTGTTTTAAGAAGCAACAAAAAATACTAATGAAGGGAGAAAATGAAAGGGGCAAATGGAAAAGAAGGAGTTTCAAAGGGCGGCATTGCCAAAGCGGTGTTTACTTTTCCTTCTCATGCATTGTGATTTTAGGGAATTTACCAAATTTTATGATTTCGAAGTCAGCAATTTACCAAATTTTGTGGTTTCGAAGTCAGTTGTTGAGAATGACAGATTTTGGTTGCAGATTGGGAAGGAAGGGTACGGAAGGTGGTGGCAGGAGCAGGGAGATGAAGCTGTAGAAGAGAGTAGTTGGAGAAGAAGAATAGGTGATGGTTTTATTTATGTTGGCGGTTGTTGGCAACATGCACGGCGTTTGTGGAGTCGTAGTAGGTGTTGAAGGAATGAAGTGGAAGTGATGCTTGAGTGCGACGATTATCGTGCAAGGGGAAGAGTAGTTTTGTAATTGCATAAGTAAAAAATAGTTTCTTGCTTGTGGGTGTGTAACGTCGCCGGGCTAATCATATTCAAATGAATTTTTTTTAATATTACGACATTTGGTATCCATTCTTAAAAAAATTGATATTTATATGCTATTTGATACTGTATTTTTAAAAATAAATATTAGAAAATCAATTAAAATATATAATATATTTTAATCTAAAGATGCCATTGAGTTATTTATTAAACAACACACATATTTACAAGATATTGGTCCAAGGCCAGGCCCAATTAGGCAAAGAAGCAAAACAAAAAGGGATTTCATAAATATACAATAAACTAGTTTGTTTATAAAAAATATAGTCAATTTTCCATTTACATAAAATATAGCTCAAAATTAGAGATACTATAAAGTCCAAAAAAACAGTCAAATTCGCTTGTTCAAAAATGATAAAAAATCCGATTTTTCTATGTATCGTCGCTCAAACGATGATCTTCTCTCAAACTTCACTGAGAAAAGCTCAATTTCACCAAAAACATCGATTTCGTCGGTGTTTCATTATCAGTTCTTTGATTTTGTCGGTGATTCATTCAATTTCTGTTTTGTTTCATCAATTTTTTATTAAATCATCAATTTTAATGGATTATTTCACCATTCTGAATCAACACAACGTCATGTGGGAGAATAATAATAAATACGTCAATTACGTTGTTAATGCTATTATGTCAATTTCGATTATGATTTTGAAGATCTAACTATCATTGTTTCCACCCAAATTGACATCTCCACACAAATTGACGTTGATTCCATAATATATTTCATGGAGATCAAATATGTTCGTACTGACTATATTAATACATAATAACATGAGTGTTATGATTTATATGAAGTTAAAACAATTTTTTTAAATATATCTTTCTATGCACTGTGTTACGCTAAAAGAAATTTTTATAAAGGACTTCAACAACTTGACTATAATTGCTAGTCTCTCTATAGAAAATAGAGGTAGTATACAAAAAGTATACAATGTAGATATAATTGAAATGCTTGAGGCTGAAATCATAAATTGTGGGTGAAGTAGTGAGAGAAGGTAAAGCACATTATTGATAGTTGCTTTCACTCGAAAGTCGAAAACGACAGATTTATAAGGATAAGACAACGATTGTCAAAGTTTTGAAGAACTACACTTTTTGAAATTAGTTTCAATTTAAGGTCAAGATATCTAGTTCAACAAGGTGATGTAACTTGTTTTTGTATACTTTTGTATATTGATTGTATATGCTTATTTGATTGTTTGTGTTTTTATTAGGTATAATCTTCGATGTATCGATAAAAATTGCAACTGATTGTTTATATCTTCAAGCTTAAACAAGTCAAATCTATTCAAAATTTGAAGTTTCAATAAAGTTCACTCATACTATTTGCTTGAATTATATATGATACAAAGTCAATCTAACTCAACCATTATTGTAAGTTTGGTGATAGAGAAATTTAATAATCCTAAAACTGTCTATACACCTAGAGATATCATAAACGATATTCAAAAAAAATTATTTTGTTGAGCTGACTTATATGCAAGCATGGAGAGAAAAAGAAAAGTAAATGAAATTGATAAGAGAGACCTTAAAAAAAAAAAAACCTTGTTGGGTCAAATTGTAAGCTATCGATATATTTGTATATGATTGCACATATATATTCAAGATTTGTAACAAGGCTACATAATCAAAAGATGGATGTGGGAGCTTTGTATTTTTTGTGTCTTTGCTGTAGAGTGTTGTCGGGTGCACGTCATTCGAGGTAAATTTGGTTATAAATCAATCTGTTGTAGCCTTTTTCGAGTTCTTATTTTTGGCTTTCTTGAATTGGTGATATCTTGGTCATTTTAGCTCGGTTTTGGGTGATTTGAAGTCCCACATGTTGGAAATTATCGTGGCTACATCGTGGAGTGTTCAAGGAGTGCTGAGCACCATTCGATTCTCATAAATTCCGAGTTTAGACTGCTGCATGTTTTCTTTTAAGTTGATTAAAGTGTGGTTTTCTTGCATGTTGGATTTTGCTGCGTTTTGAGCCTCAAATTGTGTTCCATTTTGGAACACAAATTTAGGGTACTGTTTTGGGTCTCTTGGCGGAGTCAAATCCGAACAATTCAGTGCGGGTCCCATAATTCTCGTTTTGACTCCAAAATTGACTTGTCTCCGTTTGTTGTGATTTTGGTGTCTAAATGACTGTACTAACGTTGTGATCCTATATTTGATATAGTAACCGTGTTCAAAGGTCATTCGTGAAGGAAAAGCTTCGGCAAAATGATTTGGAGTGCGCGCGGTGGACCTTAAGGTAGGCTACGGCTTCCTTACTATTAGTTTGAGCTTAATTGTGTAAAAGCGTCGATTGGAGTGAATTAGGGGTGGGTACCAGTTTCCTAGTTTACTTTGATTAGATACCTCATCTTAGGATCGATTAGTCATATTTCAGGTGTAGTACCATGTTAACCGGTTTAGTAGATTGCATGCTTATGTGCTAAATGCTATTGCATGCTTGTATACTATGTGTTATATGTTTTGTTCATCCCTAATAGTAAGCATGATGTCCTTAGTCTAGGTTAGACTAGCATTGCCTTAGACTTATGACTCGTTTGGGCTGGATAGCCTTGACTTTCTACCGACATCGTTCAGATGACTTAGCTCCTTGTAGATTGGAGTAGCAGACTTGAGTCTAATAGTTTGAGCCTTAGATTAGGCGCTATCGCTACTTGCTGCACTTCTGTAGCTTCTCCTTCTAATTTTGAGGTTCCGACGCGTTCTCGAAGGTTCGGTGCATCACTAGGGGCGTGGGATTGAGATAGTATAGGTTTGGAGCCTTTTCTGTTATTTCTTGGAGTGTACGTCGTTCCACAATGGTTGTTGTTGGATTGGATCCTATTGGAGATACCATCACCCCCGGGGTCGTTCTTTCTAGCTGGGCTGGGAGCGTATCGCTGGCTGGGTAGACTTGGTGATTTAAGCGATCGCCCTCGGGCCTCTCTTTCTAGTTGGGCTAGGAGTGTGCTGCTGGTTGGGCGTCCCCAGGTCGCTCTTTCTAGCCAGGCTGGGAGCTGACTGCATGGTAGGACGACTCACGATATCTACCTCACCCCCGAATCCCTCTTTCTAGTTGGGCTGGGAGTGGACTGTATGGTTGGGTCCCCCTTGGGTCACTCTTTTTAGCTGGGCTGGAGTGCATTGATGGCTGGGTGGAGTCTGATGGGTTATCTTGGTTACTTTGGGTTGGGAGCCCAGTTTTCATCTTTCTCAATAGACTTAGCTATTCTGTGTACATGTCGGGCTTATGGGGGTTCGTTCAGGTTTTATTTAAACTTTCGCACGAGTGTACCTTATGGGCTTATGGGGTCCAGTTAGGTTTAGTTTAGTTGTACTTTGTTTATTTCTAGTATGCTTATGTGCTTTCTTTTCATATCCTCTTTGGCCTCTCTGTGTCTAGATTCTATCCTTTCTTATTGTTTTTACCCTTTTTGCTCAGTTGACCTTTGATGCCTACTGAGTACTTGTTGTTTTGGTACTCATGCTACACTCTGCATCTATTTCGTGATGCAGGTCCCAGTACCAATTACTAGCGGTGATTAGTTCCAGCCTTCTTTTGCAGGTGTGACTCAGAGACAAGGGTGAACACTTGGCGTTTTGGG